CCTGCTGTTGCTCCCCATCCACTCACGAGCAGTTTCCTCCCTTTATGAGGCCGTGTCTTGGCAATTCGAATGGCTTCGATCTTACCGTTGCCGATGTGGGCGTCTCTACCCAGGTGGAGCAAGGAGATGTCGTTATCAAGAGTGCCGCCATTGTAGTCGGGATGGAGATGCCATGTGCCCTTAATTATCTGCTGGCCGGCCTCACTGTGGTTGGTCTTATCGTGGAGTCCCAAACCTGCGAAGCCATGGTGGCCCATACTGTTTACCAGTGGAAAGCAATAGGCAAATGATCAAAAAGAAAACCTTGTAAAACCAGTACTAAGTATGTGTCGGACAGTCTTGACGTTTGCCTTAGAACTTGGCCAATTGAGACACGGTAAATGACGCCATTTCCGTGCTCAAGATAGTAAATTTTGGTGAGTAAAAAGTGGTGAAAGCAATTGCGGTTATACACCATGATCAATCTCTTTTTTGAGTATGCGTAGATCTTAGAAGAACCGGGGAATAGCTCGACGTTTCGAACAGTGTACTCTGTCCGTCTTCAGGAAATTTTGCTTGATCGAATGGCACATTGATTGATCAAAGTTGGATGATGATTGTTTACGCTTTAAAACAGTAAGCCCCGTGCAACATGTTAGTCATGTGCGCGTGACAGTTATAGTACCAAAATGGTCTCTGAAATTAACTTGTAAGCAGAATCAACTAACATCTTGATTTTCCTTGTAAAAAATTGCCGTGTAATACAGGCGGATGTAAAAAGGGTTACTAAACCATGCCTCAAGTCAACCCTTGAATAGCTTATCATGACATATACCATTTCGCTGGTGCACATTTCGTGGAAATACTTTCGTATCAAGCATTCTGCTATAAAGAGGCCTACAGGTATGAGGCATAAGGTCAAGTGTTCTTTTTTTACGAAGATGATCAAATGATGACGGATTGCACTCGAATCAAGGAGGCAATGAATGGTTCCCTACAAGTTCTAACCCGCAGTGGGCGGCTGAAACAACCCATTGCTTGTGGACAAGAGTACCACCGCAATACTGGCCCGTAGCATCTTTCCTATTATAGATGGCCACCTGGTAGGGTCGGCTGTGTGGTTTGGACTCGTGCCCGCCGACGATCAGTCTGCC